TCATTATCACTACAGTGCATTATATGTTATTTTAATATGATTTCTGTTTTATTATTCATCAGTATAAAGAAGCATATATTCCCTTATAATCTTGATTTATGCCTTATTTTTCAGTAAATTTAAAATTGTCTCTATGCAGCGCCTTACTGACGCATCGCAAAATACACAAGGTTTTGATGTGAGAAAAGGTTTGAGGAATTTAGTACATTAATCTATACAAACCAATCAAAATATAGTAAAATAGCACAATTCAAATAGTTAAAGCAGTGTTGGGTGATTTCAATTGGCTCATGTTTAGAAACACACTGCTTTCATTGTTTGCCTTAACAGAGGGATAATACACACTAACCTGCATAGTTCCACCACAGTCAACAACCACCCACCTCCACTCAATCTCTCTGCCTCCCTCTGGGCTGCACAATACTTCACTGGTCTAATGGGGGATTCTTTGAGGAGGCTACTGCTTTCTCTACCCCCTGGGCTCCTAGATGTGTCTATATGTGTGCTGGTTTTCTAACATGACTGTCTCAATGTGTGTGTATGTGTACGATTCATCCCCCTTCCCCCCAACATACGCACTTTGTCCAAGCTATTTACAAAAGCTTGTCTCCAACATGCATCAGGGCACACGCACGCACTCCAAAGCGACCTAGATGTTTTACAATGCAGACATGTAGAGTCACCAGCATCACTGACTCATCTTTAGATCTACTGTAAAGCGTTCATTATGAAAAACATCAACTCTTTTTCTCACTCTGTTTTTGCACACAAAGACACACAAACTGGCACTAAACCAAGCCGCGCTCATTTCCTTAAGTGTTAGTAGTGACGTTATTGATGCGGCGTTCTACCCCGTATGACCTCACTGTATGCTGACACAACGAAATCCAAGTGCGTATGGAAAATGATAATAAGGACCAACCAAAACATTCCAGTACAGTGACACTACTAAATGTTTGCATGGTTATTTTCTTATGGATTTTTTCCTTTGGTTTGACCCATTCCAGTACCCCATTGCCACTTAATAAAAGCCAGCAGCTGTGTTTACCTCCATCTAGCCCTGCCCTCTCTTTGATTAGTTTTCTTCCTGGCTCTGTTACATGTTATGCCATGCTGATATCTACTGCAGCCAGCTATTAGGAGAGCATTTATGGCCCATAGCATGATGCACCAACTGATTGTGTGCAAGCCAAGGAGCGGAAAACGGCCACAGGCTCCCAAATTAATGCCACATGTTGTTTGTATAATTGACTCACCAGTGGATCGACAATACCAGTTTAGGGTTTCAAGAGTTACAGTTCGTCATGAGAAATATTGCAAGTTTTTAAATATATATATATATATATATATATATATATATATATATATATATATATATATATATATATATATACTTACATCAAAGATCTGTCCATTCTGATCTTTCCAACCAAACATTTAGTTATATATTATTATAATAATAATAATAATAATAATGTATAAAAGCAAGCATACCTAAATACAATATTGTAACTATATGCATGATCAGATTGGTTTTATCACTTTAATATAAACAAGAAAGAAAATGGACTTCATTAGAATCAAATACAAGTAAGTAAATGTTTTTTTAAGTAGTGATCAGCATGTGAAATCTGCATGTGCATAAGTTCCTATAGCAACATAAGGGTTTGGGGCCCAGGTCTCAGGAAAGAGTCATTTCCAGTAAGCAGCAGTGACTGTAAACTTTAGAGATAGTGCCAAAGACAAACAACGTCTCACCCACATGTCGTGCTATGTTTTTCCTTTCCTTTTTTTCCAAATCTGTTTCAACAACTTTCAACAAGATGCAAGATACACAACACAAAATGCTCCATAACAACTGCTTCTTGACCACAATACAACTTTACAGAAGAATTTTGTTCAGTGTGTAGACTATCCACTGGTGATTGCACAATATTTTCCATATTCTCGTTCACTCTGTCCCTCTCCCTCTCTCCTCTGTCACAAAACACACACACGCCAGCACTGCATGTCTACCCTTTACTCAAATTTGACAAACAAACATGGGTTGGACACTGAGGTCAAAGGTTGAATCTATAGCCAAAATAACTAGGGGAGTGAACATTTTGTAATCTGCCGACATGGTGTGACAAGAGGAAGAATTATTTGTTAGAGCTTTTAGATTAATCGAAATGTAATCGAAATTGCAATTTGAATGGACACAATTAGATTCTGCAATTTCTTCCACAAATAAAATGTTCTGTCTTATTCAGCATAAAAACCCTGCAGTTTAGAGCTCTACAAACATGTTCTGAAATGTCATTCTTGCATTAGTTTATCAGTTCATCAGTCAGTCTTTTTGTCAATTCCTCAGCACATGTTTAAAATGCAAACTTTGAACAGAAGTGTATAATTAAAAAAACATTAATTGCAAATTTATTCAGATGTGCTATGTTGGTCAGAAAAAAAATCACAGTTATATATTTTTCCCATATCGCTCATTGTTGTTTAACCTGAAATGTATATTGCTTTGTATTGTCATTCATAAAGGTCGACCATATGCATACACAACGTAACAACACAGACATTTCATTCAGTTTTATTACCATTTTCATTCTTTATTTCCTATGATCTTGTACTGTTACTTATGTAATTGTTTTTGATTGACTTTCATTTCTTTACCTGCTGTAGCTCTTATGTATTATTTCAGTGGACACCAACAAGAAACACTAAGCCTGGGATACAACTCTCACTAAACAATATGGACCCATTTCATGAATTTACATTAGCCCTTTGACTGTGGCTAACACTTGGGGATCTAAATGAATCTAGTGCACTCCAGCCTATGTGCAATCAATGGCCATACACTGCATAACACCCACGGGGATCAATGATACAGCTCTCCATCAATACACCAGGAGTTAACCCTCTGATTAGAGCCAAATACTGAGAATTTCATGTCCCACTGACAAAGACACTGAGCCTACAGATTGTTAGAAAGCACATAGTAAAGCACTTCCTCCTGAAAGATCCACTCTGTCAACACATGCACAATTTGTTCATGTGATGTGTAGCGGACAGATGATGCCTTTAGACGAGGGATCCTGACTGGCAATTAATAGTGCTACTGTGCTATGTGGTGTTGATGGACAGATAGGGTCTGTCTGCTGGTGATTGGCTTTTTAATTGAGTCCCCACCTGCTCTGATCACTATCATAAGTCCTTGGTCTTCGTCAGGGGAGGTTGGAGGAATTTTTGGAGATTAACAGAAATGGTTGGTCACATTGTTTACTTACAAATAAATTTTCAATGATATAATGGCAAGGACACTTAATTTTATAGTATTAGTAACATGTTGATCTAATGGCATTGGAAAAGTAGGTCTGTGTCATAAAAGTGAGATACAAATGTTGGAATATTTGTTGTTTCCACTTTAACATTCTTGACATGTGCGGTTAGGTTTAGGTTGTACACAAGAGGGCTCTTTTGTTCAGAGGTTTAAATAAGTCTTCAAATGGACTCTAATCTCACTGCCTAAACTTCCCAGATCAGCGTGGGGGTCTCATCTGCACTCGGCAACCCTTCACCATGACTATTTTTTAACTTTTTCCCTGATGGCGGCCCCTCCTTAAATCCACACACATGTATACTCCCCATGGCTGTCACAGCAAAGAGTAAGACAGGGCCTCTCCATAACACAGGGCTAAAGTCAGCCAGGTCAGTGCTCAGTTTCCACATCAAACCGAGGAGCAGAGGCCAGAGTCTCATCCCCCCCACCGCACACACCCCCGCCCCCCTCCTCCCTCCCCCTTTCTCTGGCTGTACAAATGCCTTTGCTGTCAGCTCTGCCCTGGTCCCCTGTAATTGAAAATAACAGCCAAGGGCCAGCCCCCGGCCACTCTGCACCGGCCTGGTGGCTCTCTGCCTCCCTGACAGCCAGCCATCAATACCAATGACTATTACCCTGGAAGTGAGAGCGCTGCCGATGACATCCAAGACACCACCCCTGCAACACTCCCACTCACACCTCCCCCCCAGTGTCCTTCCTCCGCTACCCGAGCTCCTAATGTTTAACCCGTTGCTAACAGCCTGTGTTCTCCTGTTTTTATACACAGATTCTGACAGAAAGATAGTCAAAAACATGTACCGTGTAAGTGAACTCATACTGGATATATTTTGATAACTTGAAAAGTCAAAAGAGCTGCATTAATTAACTGTTGTGGTCTCTTCACTTTAGTTTTTAATGCATTCATCAATTTGTTATCAGTGTAACAACTACACTAAAAGAACAAGACATGCTAAAGGCATTCTTGACTATAAACCATGCACTTTCTCTTAAATTATAGACAGCCAAGATGGTCCTATTGCGTAATATCAACACAGCAATGAAAGATGAGTTTGTCAATTTGAAATATTAATTAGCATATTATCTCTGTCATATTGTCTACTGTCACAGTTCACATCTGTAGGCACAAACACATCTGACACATGCACCAGCACAATGCCTTGACACAAGCAAAAAAAAACTCTTGTCAAGCAGAAAAGTTTTTTTTTCTTGTGAGAAGTACTGAGAGAGACTTTGGTGCGATGCTCTTACTACACTGTCGAAGACCTCTCCCCGTCGATATCCACGATCACTGAGACTGCGTGTAAAACAGCACACCGCAGAGAAAGTTGGTTTCCAAAGTTGGAAGAATGAGGACAAAGCCGGTAAATGAGAGTTGAGAATGACACAAATGCTAACTTCTGTGTCTAATCACTTTTCGGACATGACAGCTTGTGAACTTTGTGAGAGGCAGTCAGTCTGCAGTGTGCAGTGTGTCTCAAGTTTGCCCCTTCACAACAAACACAAAGCCATAGGTGATCTGAGTTGTCATCTGCTTTGACACAGCAATGACAGCTGAACGAGGACGAGTGAACACAAGCACAAAGCCCAGCAACGTGACAAATGAAGCACAAGGCAGGCAGCCTGCGCAGGAATGGGACGAGAGAGAGGAGCAGGAGCAAAGAAATGCACAGACCTTGTCAGAAGCTGCAGAGCCGGGGAGACTGTTTTCCTTCCTACAGCCCTCTCTGTCTCCTCTCCTCCTCTGCCTCTCCTCGCCGCGGCTCTGTGTATTTGTGAGAGAGAGAGAGTGTGTGTGAGAGCGGCTCCCTCCCCTTCTGCCTCTCAGCTGCTCGGCTCAGGCAGTTCTCAGGAAATGAATGGGGAGCGCACAGAGAACTGTTGTACTTGCAAATGACTTACCCCGAGTCACATGATCCGCCAAATGTAGGGTGGGCCGGTGGGTGGAGGCTTCATAAGCAACGGGAGGACAATATACTCTAAGCTTTAACAGCATGCATCGAATTACACGGGGCCCCACCGGGGAGGTTTCCGACGAGTCCGCACTTTGAGCTCCAGCTAGAGCGCACTGGAGCAGCTCTGCACAGAGCGCAGCGCACAGGAGCACCGGGCACACTGACACCTCCCCGTTTAAAGGGACGAACCTAAGTGCACATGGAAAGTTAATCAATACACCCATGGTAGCAGTATAATTAAGAACGTATTAAGCGTTACTGCGTTACACCAAATTAATAAAAAAAAAAAAAAAATTGCATTAACTTATCAGAGCACCGTAGCACCAATGTCCTACCAAAGTCAATGACAAATTGTCCAAGATCAAAAGCACAGAATCAAAATAAAACGCCAACTTATACCTAATGCATTTAAGTTAAGCCTACCCGTAAGCCTACCGAGACTCATTGTGCAACTTCATGTCAGGAGTAAATACTCACCTGAGCCCTCCCTCGGTCATTTCAATTAAGGTAACTTAATTTACTTTGGGTAGCCGAAGCACGCGAACCACTTCCGCTTACAATGGTCGTGCTGGCGGGTGTTCAGAGGAAGAGGAGAGGGTAAGATCTAATGGTTCATCTTTTGACAAATCTCTATTAGGTTTTCTAGAGTAGTTGGGTTTCATTTGGTTTGATATGTCTTGACGTTTCAGTAGGCCCAATTACAATAAAATGAATCAACTGAAACTCAACAGCATTATTTATATTCCATAAAACATTTGCATTTGAGTGGAGAATGCTTTATTTACGCCAAGGAAAATCATCAAGACAGTTGCCACGTGTTCTTATGATGACCTTTGTGACTTACCTTGTCCTGCCGCTGAAAGCCCATAGTTGCTGGGTTCAACTCCAGCCTCTTGACGTAAATGGGAGCAACACATTGGTCGTTGTATGAGACACATATTGCTACCTCCACGTATAGCCTATTAGTGATTGAACATATAAGTTGCCATTGAACATGTGATTTGTACATTAAGAGGTACAGACTGGCTAATAGGTGCTGTGAATGACTCTGTGTGTGATGGAACACTAATGTAATATCAGCCGTAAGGCCTGCTGCTGATCCTTATAATGACATCCTGAGGAGCTCTTTGAGATGAAATCTTCACTGTGTAACTGGTGCCCCGGGAGTCCTGGCATGTGCTGAAGGAGACAGGCACACAAACAGGCGTGATGATGAGGAGGTGGTGGTGAAGGCGGATGGGTGAAAGAGGGTGGAAGAAAAGACAGAGGACATTTTTAGATGGTCTGATGTAGGCTGCAAAGTTACTGTTATTAGTAATCCACTTCCAATATTTCAGATTTCAAAACAAATGGCTGTATTGTTAAGGGTGTCCAACATACACTATGATCAAAATAATAATATCCTAAAATGAAACCAGCTTGGGTGGCAGTAACTTTCTCAGTAGAGATGTTTGATACTTCCTGGAAGGTAGTCCAATCACAGCTACTGGAAAGACACTTCATCTGCTTGGCTCTGATTCAGGTTCTGCATACGAGAGGTCATCATTGCTGATATGTTTTTCAGTTTAAGGCCTATTGTTGCAGGAATATTTAGCTACTTAAGTCTTTAATGAATCAAGAAAATATTGTAACTTTTTATAGTTGTAGTTTGTAGTTTAGTTGTAGTTTTAGCTACATACAGCCACATATAACCTTAGGAAAAAAAAACATTAATATGTTTGTTTCTTTCATTTTTGTGCAGTTGTTATCTGTAAGAAGGAAGTCATCTGTTTGGAGCCACAGAGTCCCCCACGCCCCACACCTAGCACCCAAGGGAGCTGCCTGAACCATCTGCACAGAGGTTTGAGTTCAAAGTGAATGTCTGCCTGCTGGGACTGTTTGTAGAAAACCATTATAAGCTTCAAGACATCATGACGAGCATCATCATTACACACTTCTTTCTTGCATCATCTCACCCAATCTCATCAAATTATTGTAACACCATTCATCATTTAGTCACACAGCACAAATGTCTGCACTGAGTGGGCGAGGATCCGTACCACGCAAAGGAAGCTGTATTTCCGTGAGCAAAAATGCAACAAAAAGTCTTCACTGAGAATGGAGACAGGTATAGGATGAGAGGATCATGGAAACTTAATATAATAACTTCACATGTTGAATAAGAATGAGTGAATGTGAAATAAAGTGGCTGACAGGGAAGTGAAAGACTTAACTTGAACTTTCAAAAGTTGAATGGACAAAAATAAATATTCATACTCTCAGACAGGCCTGGTTTCTAGGCAATAAAGTGCTCACCTCTGGAGTGTCTCTATATGCCCCCGCAGTCCCATTGTATTTGTGCTGTGAATTCTCCGGCACAATAAGGCCACATACATTACACAAGAGAAAGTCTAGCTCTCAACTTAATACGTTTCTTTAAAATGATGCAGGCAGAGAACAAAGCTTGACAACAGGCCACTTTCACTGGTATGTGATGTAAATGATTGCATATCTCTTGCAGTAGATATCTGTTGGCAATTATTGAAAAGATTTTGCACTTATAGACAGTTGACTATTGCTCCATGTTGATGACAATGTATGTGCATGAACACCTACCTACTGACAGTGGTTACAATGCTACTTTAGGCAAGACTAGTGGACAAAAATTTTTTAGAGCATATATTATTTTCCTTTACTATACTCAGTGTGAGAGACTTTAAAGTGACTTAGTTCAGTGGCATGCTTTTGAGCTCATTTGATTTGAATTTCATGAAAAAAATCACTTTGAAGAAGTTGGCACTTAGAGTGACAGGTCCTGCTGTTGGTTTTAAACAACCCAATCATAGAACTTGAAGCAGGTTGATACAGTGTTTCGTCATATGGTTTCTGTTTCTGATGCCCAACAATCCAACACCATCTCCATCCTAAAAGATGTAACTAAAATATGGATCATACGCATTTTAAATGGTTTGGCAAGAGAGAAACTTTGTATTATCTGTGTCATCTATCTAACCTTTGTCATGGGTGTATAAGGGAGAGGCCCCAACAACCACCCATGACTCCTGACAGTGTCTCGTTCTTCTGTGGTTTCCAGTGTTAGGCTGAGGCTCATATATATATATACGGTATAACCAAGCTTACAGCTGTAATTTCATTACACCTACAGACACATTTTTATGCGGTGTGGCATGCATGATGCAATGCTGTGGTGGCTTTAAATGCAACAATATAATTAAGATTTTCTATTTTACTGTGAATTGCTTTGGTGAAATACATGCATTCAAGAAACATCATTTCTAGATGCTGTTGGCTTCCTCCGTATATGGCAGTTCTCAGAGCTACATCTCCACAGAGAGGCTTACAGATAAGATGTTGCACGGCTCACAGCTCCCTAATGCATTGACCTCCTCTGTTGTACACTGTGCTATATGGATATAATAATAAGGAGCACTCACATAGAGGCATGCTATGTAAATTATTGATTCATGGTGTGTGCATTTGTCTTATATGCAGGAATCATCTCAAATGAATACTCAGTCAAATCATATGTTATGCATGCTGTATGGAAAGCTAACAAAAAATATTATACAACAGGTGTAAACACTAATCACACAATTCTGCGCACTATAACTATTTTTTGAGTATTTGTCCCAACTTTGACTAAACTCATATTTTAGTAAAATTATTGTCACAACACATGTTTTTTTTCTCTTTGCTGCAAAATCAGTTGCTCCATAGATGACACAAAAAATTCAAGCTGAAGTTGTTGAAGTACTGTACAAAGTGAATGTGAATATTTAAAGTGGCATAGTGCATAGTGTTTGTCATTAGAATGACTACTCAAAAAGATAATCTCAAAAAAGGCAGAAGGGAGGTATCAGGCTGAACTGGCTGGAACATCTGCTCGCTCTGGGGCCTCCTCTGGTCTAGTGGCGCTGTGTATCTGTGTGTGTGTGTTCATGTGTGTTTGTCCAGGCGGCGCTACACCTGCACGAGTGGGCTGGCTCAGTGGGCTATCCCCCCCAGGCCACTTCTCTGTCAGGCCTGGCCAAGGTCAGCCTCCTGCCAGGGGAGAGGGAGGGGGCCAGAGGCAAAGAGGGAGGAGGGAGGGGGGGAGGTTTCAGTGTGACTATCGGGGTCTCGGTACACTGTGGCTAATAGTGACTGCATAAGCTCTCTGTACTGTGCACGCATGAACTTTCACTCCAATACTAACACGAAGAACTGACATCTGGAAATACGCCCCAAGCAAAAGTGTAACTTTAATGTAACTTCACAAACAAAGACACATAGTCACAATGAAAGTTTGGTTTTGTTAAAGGTCCTATATTATGCCAGATTTACTCTTGTGAGCTTTAAGCCATGTTATAATGCAGTTACCTCTTCAAAAATATACCTTGAGTTGTGTTTTGTTTCATTCACACATGTTTGGGTAACCTTTTATTTTTAGTCTGGCTACATCTCCAAAGCTCAAAATGCTCTGTTCTTCCTTGTGATGTCATGAAGCGATAGATTTCAGCTTCGCATTACCTTTTGTTTGGGAGAGATGGGAATTCCAGGGATGAAATTATCCCAGTGATTTTAGTGAAGGTGTATGGCGTTTAAAAACACAGTGGAGCACTTCCTGAATTACCACATGGCCACAAGGAGGAACAGAGTGTTTTCTGTTTTAGAGAAAAAACGAAATATGCAGGATTTGTGTGTTAAACAGGTGTGAATGAAACAAAACACAACTCCAGGTCTGTTTGTGATGAGGAAACAACATTATAACAGAGATCAGGAAATAGTGTAATATGGGTCCTTTAACAAAGTAATATGGGTGTAGAGCTTGAAAGAGAATGAAAGCCTAGCCGAGAAAGTAACAAGAAGACTGTGTGTCCCAAAAGTGCTGCCTCGGTATAATGTCCATTCCATAGCTATCTGTTACAAAGATCGTCTTACTAGTTGGCGAGACGCAGTGTGGAGCCTGCAACACTGTAGTCACCCTGATATGTACTTGATTCGCTTATGCAAGGGCTGTACTGTGAGACCAATTGTTCTTCTGAAACGCTTTGTAATAGGAATAGTTGG